TAAACCCTAAACCCCAAACCCATCCCCTTTCAAGGGTCTCCCTAATACTACCTAGGCTTGGGAGTTGAAGGCATCTTTGCTTTCGGTGGCCCGGTGCCATTGTTGGTAGTGAAACTGCTTTTTTGGGGGGCGGCTTTGAGGCTCGGAAGGCTGCGGTTTAGGGTTTAGGGTTTAGGGTTTAGGGTTTAGGGTTTAGGGTTTAGGGTTGTAAACCCCTGACGCAATGCCAAAGCTAACCGTGGTTGGGGCTTAGCCTTGAGGGAACCCGAACCCCGTAAACTCTAGCTTTGGCGTCTGCATGAAGGACTTCAAAGGCAACTCCAGACTCGCGTTGAACGCCTTTTGCGTCCGTTTTGGTTTCAGGTCCCTAAACCCTAAACCCCTAAACCCCTAAACCCCTAAACCTCTAAACCCCTAAACCCCTAACCCCTAAACCCCTAAACCCCTAATAAACCCTAACTCCCGCATGGAAGGAAGGATTTCGGGCCCCAGGCGAAATCGGAGTGCCAGCCCAGCTTCTTAACCTGAAGGTCGGGGCTTCGGGCTTTTGGGTTGGGAGCTTCAGTAGTATGGCATATTATAGTATAGTATGGCGTGGCATAGCATAGTATAGTGGAGTATAGTAGAGTATAGTATAAAGGGTCTCGGATTCAGGGTTTGAGTTCTGTTTTTTGGGTGGTCAGCCCCTTTTTTACTTGGCTGGCCTCATTTGTGCGTCGCGCTGCCCGATACGCTGTAGGTAAGGCCCCCTTGATGCGGGTCGGGGGTAGACAACTCTAAACCGGAGTTTCGTTTGTGTGCTGGGTGGGACGGTGAGGCTTCAGCGCATGCCTGAGGTTCATGAGCCCGGACGGGTTGTAGATGCACTCTCATAGCAAATCCCATGCCCCAAACCCTCAGAACAGAACCAAAAACTGAACAGCATAGACGAAACGACGCTCTAAACCATCCGCAACTCGTGGCCTTAACCCTAAACCCAAGCTCTAAAACCCAAACCCTGTAGAGTGAACCCTAAAACATACAAAGCCCGAAATCCCCAGCCTAAACCCTTAGCCATGAACCAGCTGGCCCCTGAAAGCCCTAGAAACTAAAACCAAAACCATATGAAGCCCTAAAGCCATACCCTCAACTCTACACCCCCCTACCCCGAACACCAAGCTCTATACACCAAAAATCCGAAATTTTAAACCCTGAACTCTAGACCCTAAACCCTAAACCCTAAACCCGAACTCCTAAACCCTCAACCCCAGACCCGACTCAGAGCTGAGGCCGTGCGGGCAGCCTCTGCCACAAAATCCTCTCTCATCTCCGGGCCCCTGGCCAACTCGAATTTCTCGGCATCGCCTTGGCGCCTCCAGAGGATCACCTGCAAGGCTGTTTAGGGCTTTAGGATGTGCAGGGGTTTAGGGATTTAGGGCTTCAGGGTCGAGGGTTTTAGGTTGTGGGGTTTGGGGTTTGGGGATTCAGGGTTAAAGGTTTCGGGTTGAGGGCTGAAGTGCTACAACCCTGAGCCCCAGGGCTCTAACCCTTGCATAGGAGCCTTAAAGGGCCCTGGGGTATATTATGCTACAAGAAATACTAGTGCTAATTATTCCAATCCGCATACTGAGCCCTAAACCCTAAAGCCTGAACCCTCAAAGCCTAAAGTCCGCAAAGGAAGGCGAATCTTCGTGGAGGATCCTCGCTGAGGGTTACACGTCGGGCCCAAAAAAGCCCAGTAAGGCTTGCAGACGGGGGTCAGGATTTGGAGTTCAGGGTTTGGGGTCTTTTTAAGGTTTGAGGCTGTAGGATTTCAGGGTTCATGGTTTTCAGTTCAGGGCTCATATTCAGGGGATTTAGGGTTTAGGGTTTTTTTGGGGGGGTTTAAGGTTTAGGGGTATAGAAGAAACCCAGCCGCAGCTTGCGGCTGGCTGTCCGAGATCTTGGGTGGAAGGCCCGACAGTCTACACCTAGGGTTCAGGGTTTAGGGTTCAGGGTTTGGGGTTTACGGTGTAGGGTTTGCGGTTTGGGGCGTACGTAGTGTTTAGGGTTATCAAAAAGCAGGCCTGAACATCTGACACCCAACGTCGGAACCCTTGACTATGATCCTCGGGGCTTCAGGGTTATTAAAGTTAAGGAGTTTAGGACCTTTATCTAGGACTTGCCAGTGTCAGTCAGAAACAAGAGACCAAGGGATACCCGGACCCTCTTCTGACATCACTGGAGAACCCGAAACCCTACTCCCTAAGAAAATCCTGGAACCCGTAAACCGAGCCTGTCTTCGAGGAAGAACGAGAAACCCTGAAGAAAACGAGACTCTGAACCCTACACTCTCAAAGGACTAAACCCTCAACCGTAAACCGCTTCACTCCGGGACCGGACCCTTAAACCCCAAGCCAAAAAAAAGAACTCCAGAACTTAATCCTGAACAAACCCGAACCCTAAATGAAAAAAACCCAAACCCCAAACCCAAAACCATTAAATCCCCAAACCCTGAACCCTAAAACCCTAAAAGCCTAAACCCTGAACCCTAAACCCTAAACCCTAAACCCTAAACCCTAAACCCTAAACCCTAAACCCCTAAACCCTAAACCCTAAACCCTCCGAAGCCCCAGCCCGAACCCAGAGCCTGAGAGTCCAATCCTCCCGAGACCAGCCTGAGTTTCCATGGGCAAAACTAAAGCTGCAAGGGGTTAGGGTTTGAGGAGGGTTTAGGGTTTAGGGTTTAGGGTTTAGGGTTTAGGGTTTAGGGTTTAGGGTTTAGGGTTTAGGGTTTAGGGTTTAGGGTTTAGGGTTTAGGGTTTAGGTACAAACCAGAAGTTTCCATCCCACGCCACAGTCCTTTCTGTAGGGTTTAGGGTTTTCGGGTATGGGGTTTAGGGTTTCAGGTATAGGGTTTAGGGTTTTCAGGTTTTGGGTTCAGGGTTTCAGGTACAGGGTTTAGGGTTTCAGGTATAGGGTTCAGGGTTTCAGGCATAGGCATTCCGATTTCGGGTAATTAGGGGCGTAGGGTTTCGGGCAAAGGGTTTAGGGTTTCGGGCAAAGGGTTTAGGGTTTCGGGTATAGGTTTTAGGGCTGTTGGGTATAGGTTTTGGGTTTCGGGTATAGGATTGAAGGTTGATTTGGGGTCAAGGGATATTACAGGGGTACAAACGGGCATTCGTGGTCCAGAAGGAAGGAACCCAGGAAGCTATTTACAACGGGAGTTATGTAGAAGCATTAATCAGTCTCTTTTTTCCTCCTTCAAAAAGGGACCATGTTGGGACACTGTTACTGATTTTTCCGAGCGGTTAACTTTTTAAGTAGGTACTGCATGAATTGTACTGTGACAAGCTTGGCACAACACGCGGGGCTGGACAAAGGAGCCTGAACAACTCCGAAGTGCTACAGCCTGAGGGTTCAAGCTGGAGTTGGGCTTTGGGCTTCGGAGTGTGGGTACTACGCTGCGCAGCACTTGGAGTTCGGCAACACGCAACGCCGACCCCACGTCTTTCAGAAAGCCACCACTAAACAAACAAGTAGGAATGACAACAAGAAAATACGCACAGCACTGTCAGCGAGCCACGGCTTCAATCCGCGACAAACAACAGGGCTTCCAAGAATCGGTGCGACACTCCGCAGTCAGGGCACGTGCCGTCACCCAACACTGCCACGCAGCGCACCTGGACCCGGAAGCCAAATCCATGCGGACATTTGGGGTTCGGGACTTGCAACTTGATACGCTGACTGATTCGGACGAGACACGCTTCAGTGATGAGCGCTGCTACGAGCACTCATCACCGACGGGGCAATTGAACTGTAATCCGAACACAGGAACCAATACTCAAAGGGGGCTACCGAGGACCACCTGTGATGATAAAGAAAATCCAGAACGAACCATATTCATCAACCAATTCTTCATCTACCGCAACACCATGCAACAGCAACAACAAACAGCTGTGTCCATCATCGGCTCTCTATCTTCCGATGGAACCAAGCCAGGTATGACTCTTTGTGGTATACATACGATGTGCGTAGCACTCAACAGCAAACCCTAAGCCACTATACCCCTGAACCCTTATGTAAACCCCGAAACCCCTAAACCCTAAACCTCTAAAGCCCTAAACCCTGAACCCCGAAACCCCTAAACCCTAAACCCCTAAACCCCTAAACCCCTAAACCCCTAAACCCCCTAAACCCCTACACCCCTGGAGCCCCTCCTCCCCACTCCACCGGCCTGGCTTTCGTGGCCCTGGAGCTGCTGCGACAGCTCGTAGTCCACATCCATCGCGACCCGACGGAAGTGATCTGAAAAACCCAGGAAACCCCTCACTCTTTCAAGCCCAAACAGCTTAGGCATCCCAGTTTAGGCACCCCTAAAAGGAGCTGAAAGAGCAGGCGATGACCTATTCCAGACATCTTCCGATGTGCACCTTCACCATGGTACATGGGACATGCCTCTGCTTGATCGGAACAGCCAGGTCAGGCTTGACAGCCAAGACACTTGCAGCTTCGAAGCGCTTGTTGCAGAGTACAGATTTGCGGTGCTTCGAACTGAGAAGTTTAAAGCTAGCAGCTTAGTGCAGGTATAACGATACTACTTTCCTGCTAATGTTGCCCGTTGCAGCACAAAAGAGAGTGTCCCTTTCGGTAGTGCAGTCTGTTGCTCTTTCGGTACAGCAGAGTGTGAACATGCAGAACTTGCGGTTTCGGTCTTAAGAATCCTGGGATTTATGAGGCTTGACCGGCTTGCGGATGCCATTGCGCATCCAACTCTTGAGACGGTTAAGAAGATCTTCACACCCGCCATCACATACAGATTTTGCAGGGCGTTGAGAGCATGTCTTGCCGTGTTCCTGGAGGCGTTCGGATTGGCTTTCCAATCGGCTAGGGAAACATTGGCGCTACCGGGTCAGTCTACAGGGCCAGTTTTCTTGCACGCAGCTTGCGTGTCCCGTTGAGAAAAGACCTTGAAACACATTAGCGGCGGCATTAGCGCCTGCACTCTGGCAGTGGCTACGAGGAAGGCAGCTCCTGCCATGTCACTGGCTCCAAAGAAGCGTGAAAAGAGGCTTAGCACCGGCAGCCTTAAGTTTGGCTTTCATACGCTGAACAGCAGCCTCCACGCAGGCATCCTGCCGACGTGCGGACAAGAGCAGCCTCCTGCTTGCGTCTGCCGAGCGACCAGATCTATAGGCAGTGTGGTGGAAGAAATCAAGTCCAACCGGGCTGTACATGCCGAGCCAAAGCTCGTGAAAGCTCAGTGCGCCAGTGTCGCGAATGTGGCGAAAAACGCACTGCCAACGCTGACAATGTGGGTCGAAAACGACTTTAGCAGACTTGACCTCCACTCTAGCGCCGTCGCGAATCCAGTCTACTGCAGCGTTGTTCACACCACGCCTTATGATAGGATGTGTCGTGGGCTCACCAGATGCATCTGTAAACGTGCTACCTGCGTGTTGAACCTTGTCGAATTCCAAAGCGATTTGCTGAATCCGGTTCGCACGGGCACTGTTGCTCATGTTGCTCATGGGTATGGTTTCGTACACGTTGTCTTGCAGCTGCTGCGCTTTCTGCAACAGCTCGGAATAGAGGGCTGAAACAGTGGGATCCGTCCGCGCAACCTTGCCAACTAACTCACATGATCCTGACAGCAACATCTTGTCCAGAATAGCTTTCATGGCCGTATTCCATGCACCTTCTCCGAACTGTCCGGTGACACGTATTGCATGTCCCACAGCCGCGGTTGACACTCCTGAGGAAGTCACTCCGGTCTGTAAGTCATGCCTTATGAGGTAGAACTCAGCAGGGGTGTAGATCAATAAGTAAAGATCATCAAATGGCTGCGAGTGCTGACATCTGTTCTGCATCAGCTTAACGCCATAAAAAGTAACACTCCAAACCTGCCTGGTTTTGTCGAAACACAACATGGCAGATTTGAGCTCGATGCGCCTTCCCCCCAGGGTGAAGTCCCACTCTGCCATTTGCGAGCTTTGACGTCGGCCATCGCGACAGAACAGCATTGACTCTGCATCAGCCGACAGGCTTTGCGGATGCAAACGATCGAGAATGCGCCTGGCAAGAGATTCAAAAAGCATGCCTCGTCGTTTTCCGCTTACTTTGGCAAGCGGATCATCCGCGTACGCTGCCTGTGACTGGCTCACGGGTGCGATGATATGCCGGAAGCATGCAGAATCCAACACCACAAGCCCCCGACGCGACTGCCACAAGTCTACCGGTGTTTGGCGAACCCACGTCACGACTCTAATTCGCAGCATCTCTGGACCGCGGAATTACTGCAGTAGCAGACTCGCTCCGCTCTCTTGGGCCGGACAAGCTCTGTCGCTGGTGAAATCTGTCATCGCAAGCGCCCATGAACCCCAAACTCCTTTAAGTGCCAAATCCTTGAATGCTGCACAGCCCGCAGAAAACATCACTCGAGTGTTGACTGTGAAATGGACCAGGAGATGTGTGGGGCGATTCCTCCTTTGTTCACAGACTATCTGACACTGCATCCATGAGACCTGGAAACCATGACGAACCCTTTAACCCTAAACCCTGACACCCCAAAGCCCAAGCTCTCTGGCCATCCTTATTGCATGTTCATCTGCTGAATGTGGAGATGGCTAGCAACATATGAGGGGTGTTCAAAAATAATGTCCCCGCTAAAGTACAGCAGTACTTGCCTACAAGGGGTGGCTCGAAAAGGGATCCAAAATTTACTACAAAGCCCACATGGCCTCACAGGATGATGCATGTACCTCCCCATGAACATTTGACCTTACCTTTCGTCTGGTTAGCTTGACTAGCCGTCAATTGGGTTGCTGAGCTCAATGGCAAACGTCGCTTTGCACCCCGAAGGGTTGGTGGTACAGGTATATGCAGGTAGGGATGGCGACAGGGACGGCGATGCAGATACGGATGATGATGATGATGAAGATGATGGTGTAGAAGATGATGAGGATAGGAACGATACCAGCTGCAACACTATCATCAGGAGCTCCATCGTCAGGATTTTTGTTGAACTATGGCAAGACAATCTGAATGCCCATAGTGAGCGCCATAGTTTCACGGTCATGACGATGATGATGACGACAACGAGAAGAAGGGCTGCAACAGCGCGTTTTCGCCACTACGACAACCATCGAACTCATGCGCATGCCTGCAAATCCCCACAGAAGTGGCAACGCATGGTGCAACCCTTACGGCACGGGATTCCACCCACATCACCCGCCTCGTCCGGCACCTGTGCCCTTCCACACACCACCCTTCAAGTCATCAGGTCCAGCGATGCATCAACAGCATGCTAGGGCTGCTAGGGATGACCTGGCAGATGGGCTCTGGATCCTCAGAACAAGCAGCCTTGCTTATGGAATGTCGGACGACTCCATCTGCTCTACCCACTGAAGCCTGAAGAGATCCCGTACACCATGAGTTCCAGCGTCCACCCTGGTTCTGAATCCCGCCATCCACCCGCCTGCCGGCCAGCAGACGATCACAAAAGCAAGCGAGACACAACAAAACACACCCTTCAGATCGGATTATTTGTGCACTGCACGCCTTTTCAGCCTTTCGTTATCGACGCGTGACGCGTGCGGTGCTGTTTGGGGACCAGCTCGCGGACAAGAGCTCCAGCCTCAAGCTGTACTCAAAGGGGGCCAGTAGGGCCAATTCTAGCACAATGCCATGTCCGTTATATAGGGGAATTGACTGCGGTTTTGGGGTATATTACACTATAATTCGAGACCCTGAATCTCGGATCCCACACCCCGACAAGCCGTTAAAGTTGTAAACGCCTGGGTTTAGGGTTTAGGGTTTAGGGGAAACCCGCACAAAGGGGTGAAACAGGAAGAGCTCCTTGGTCTTCAGAGGCTCATTCACTGGGGTCTTGTAAGGGATTTAATTAATTCAAGTTGCCAGAATACAGAAACACAATAGTAACAGTACTATAGATCCCCATTATGGTAACTTAAGTTGAACTCGTACTTACTGCAGACCCCGATCATGGTAACTTCAGTTAAAGTCCTTATCAAGAGCCCAGTTCAGTGAGACAGCTCCTTAGGATGCTTGGAGATGTTCTTCTCCCCGGGCATCCCCTGGCGCTGAGGCTGCGGATGATGACGATACTGATGGTGGTGGTGATAACAGCGAAGGTGGTGATCATGATCATGGTCGTGATGATGATGATGATGATGAGGAGGAGGAGGATGGTGATGATGATGGTGATGGTGAAAGTGATGATGATGATGATGATGATGATGATGATGATGGTGATGGCGATGGTGATGTTGGCCATGCTGAAGAACATGGCCCAGCCACTTCCACGACGGCGACATTCTGCTTGAACAAACTGTTGCTACAGGTTGGTTACTGACCATTTGCTATCCAGCTATGGGTCACGTGGTAAGTTCGGTCTGCTCGGAGTCCCGAGAGCCACATTTCCAAACACGAACAACGACGAACACATATACACTCACATAACACTCACATAACCAAGACACACGCACAAACATACAAAAACACAGGCAACGCCAAGCCCTCACATGAACCACATGCCCGGAACACCCGCCCCACAAGCCCACAGCCTTTCGCCCGTTGAGCAGCTTCAAAAAACTTTGGGGGTGTCAGAGGCTTGCGGTTCAAGGCTGCCCATTTCAGACTTGGGGGTTGCTAGTAGGTGTCGTTTGAAGGGGGTTGGGGCTTATGTCTTTGGTGGTTGGAGCTGAGGGTGTGGGCTTGGGGTTTACGGTTCAGGGTTTGTTCAGGGGCTCGGGGTGTATAGTCTGGGTTTTAGTGAGTGTCGGATCTAGTTGGGGCTGCTAATGGGACTCATCAATGTAGTATAGTATAGTAACAATAAGGATCTGCATCGGATGGCAGGGTGAATTATCATAGTGCAGCTATAAACAAAAAGAACCCCAATGCAATAGTAGGAACGGTTCTCCATAGTACTAGAAAACTATACATCTTCATCGTGCGCCTTGGCCTGTCATCGACAGTGGGTCCGGCTGGTGGAGGAAGTCCAAACGAGCCTGAACCCCACACCCCCAAACCCTAAACCCCAACACC